CACACACACACACACACACTCACACACTCTTCTTCCTGGCCGGTGATACTGTGGTCCTGCTTGGGGGAGGTTCGCCTCAGCCAGTCCGAGGTCAGGTGAGGGTCTCGGCTCCCCGATCTGATGCTCTGCCTCTACCCCTTCCTTCCTGCACTCCACACCACGCTCGTCTTCCGTCTGGCCTCTGCCCCTGTTGCACGCCCTCCTCCTGTGGCGTTCAGAATTAGATCGGGGCCTCTGTGTAAACCGTGGCTCCTGGGGAAAGCAGCCCGCAGCTCTCGTTGCCGCCCCTGCAGGTGGAGCAGGGACAGCAGCGACTCCGCAGAGAACATGTACATCGACATGATGCTCTGGAGACACGCCCGGCGCCTGCTGGAAGAAGTGCGGCTCAAGGACCTCGGCTGCTTCGCTGCCCAGCTGGGCTTTGAGCTCATCAGCTGGCTGTGCAAGGAGCGGGCCCGGGCGGCCCGCGTGGACAACTTTGTGGGAGCCCTGAAGAGACTCCACAAAGACTTCCTATGGCCTCTGCCCATTATCCCCGCCTCTTCTCTCAGCTCTCCCACCAAGAATGGGAAGTACCACACAGGTAATGTAAGGAGCTCACGTGCCGAACGAGGAGGCTGCTCCCTCGCCCGCATGTGTTTAGACCCTGCCCTGTTGGGGACATTCAAAGGAGGCTTTTCATCCCAAAGCCTCCACCCCGTTGTCCATCCGGTGGGACTCCCCTCTTTGGCCAAAGATGTAGAACAGCTCCTGTGCTGCAAAGTCTGACTCCCAAGCCCGGCACTCGCTCACAGCCCCTGGCGTCAGGGTCGCTGCCTCAGATTGTTGTAGGAAGGGGTCGTGGAAACGGCTAGTCAGCACGACCTAAGAGTGAGCGCCTCGTGACTGGCTGGCTGACAGATGGTGTGAATTCAGCCGAGGACAAAGTGTGGTGCTGTGTGTTTGACTGAAAGAAAAAAGAAAGTTGAGGTCTCCAGTGAGTGCGATTTACAAGAATTTAAACACCTTTTAGAAGGACACTTTCTGGCACCTTAGAAACTAAGGGTCAGACTTCCAGGATACCGGGGTGCGGTCTGGCCTCGTGTCCCAGAGAGGTCGGTGGCCGCTGAAGGTGAATGTCCCCAGCAGAGCATGTCCGCCGGTGGGTGCCGGGCTGGCTCCCAGTCCCTGGGCACGGTGATGCCACTTTGATTTGGTTTGGTTCTTACCCCACTCGCCTTCCAACCTCCCCTCCCTCCCCAAATAGGCGAGCAGTTGGTAAAGTCTCAGTCGGCTGGCCCTTTTTCAAACCTCAAGATGGATGCTGGCACCTCCACAGTCCAGCGGAGTCAGAGCTGGCTTGGCAGCCTTGGCCCCACGCATCAGGAGGTGGATGCAGCCTCGTCCTACGGCGCACAGACTCAAGATGCCTTCCTGTCACCTCTGTTGAATAAAGGTAGGTGGCATCACCATCGTCTTTCACGGCATGCCCTTGAGAATTCGCTAGACAGGAGACTTTGGCTGGACTCGGGTGTTCTTATTTATTCAGAGGTGGATCCGTGATCGGTGATTGGCTGCTTGCTCCTGGCAAGGCTCCCAGGGAGCACGTACGCCCCGCCTCACATCTCTGTGTCCCTGTGACAGGAAAAGGAACTAGTCAGAAGGGAAAGGAAACTGTTGGCCTTTGACTTGTCCAGACCACAGTCATTCAAAGAGCATGTTGACCCTTGTTCTCCAAAAACCAGGTGTTCAGGGCTGGGTGCGACAGAGGTGCAAAGGCTACAGCCCACAGGGTCCCACAGGGTTAAGTTAGTACTCTGGTGATGTCTTTGTTTTCCTTACCGAACCGGTTCATAGCTTTTGGCGATTCTCTCCAGGGGATGAGTGCAGTATCGGTTCAGCCACGGACCTGACGGAGAGCAGCTCCGTGGTGGACGGGGACTGGATGATGGTAGATGAGAACTTCTCCACCCTCAGCCTGACACAGTCTGAGTTGGAGCACATCTCCCTGGAACTGGCCAGTAAAGGGCCGCACAAATCTCAGGTCCAGCTGCGGTGAGTCTCCCGGGCTGCTGGCGGCACAGCCTCCCTCTTGGCCCTGAGCTGCCGCCGAGGCCCTCACTATGTCTGCCCCGGCAGGTACCTGCTGCACATCTTCATGGAGGCTGGCTGCCTGGACTGGTGCATCGTCATCGGCCTGATTCTTCGTGAGCCCGCCGTCATCCACCAGACCTTGGCGGTTATGCAGTCATCTGAGGTGGACGGAGAGATGTTACAGAACATCAGGACTGGGCTGCGGGCCGTGGACAGATGGGCCTCCACCGACTGGTAAGTGCCACCACGTCTGCAGAGGCAAGACTGCTCACCGTGTGTGTCTCCAAAGCGTGCTTCCGTGGCCCTCTGAGGCCCTTCTCTTTAGTAAGCCATGCGGACACCTGGAGCTGCAGCCTCAGATGGGCTTGTGCTCTGCCCCTCTGTGGCTTCCATAGCTGTAACTCAAACATGCTGCTTGAAGACAGGAAGGGGCCAGCCTGCCGATGGGGCCTCCAGCAGTTAGTAGCAGGCTCACAGTCCACATCTGGCATGCCCACCCTGTCTCCAAGGCACCCTGCTAAGCTTTTCCCGAACCTTCTGTGAAGGACCTCTTTCTGTCCTAAAGTCTGTCCTGTAGGCCTTTGACTTTCAGTAGTGACAGCTGATTGCTTCTGGTGCCTAGAAAGTTACGGCCTGGCCTGATGTGGATTCCCCACCCCCACTCCCCGATCCTGCCATGTCCCTGCCCCTCCCTAGCTCTGACCTGGGGGTTCCTGGGTTGAGTCTATCTGTCATACCCCCTGGGGCTGGTGGATCAGGGCAGGGAGCTGACTGCCTCCTCCTCTGCCTAGCCCTGGATACAAGCCATTTCTCAACGTCATTAAGCCACAACTACAGAAACTCGGCGAGATCGCCGAAGAGCAGATCCAGCCCGAAGCCTTGCAGCCAGCCTCGGTGGGCAAGGCCCCAGAGCAGAGCAGCCCGAGGCCCGAGGAGAGCAGGACCAGCGGCAGCCACGGCGGCCTGCCCCCCAGGGAGGGCGGGGGCAGCAGCTCGGCTAGCCGGAAGGAAGAGGCTGCTGCCCGAGCCAGCGAGGAAGAGTCATTCCCCGATGGGGCCTTCGATTGTTCCGTGTCTTGACGGCGGCGGGGGCACCCTCCCCGGGGGGCGGTGTTGAGTAACAGCCGTGTGTGCAGCACAGCCACTGGCGCCTCTAAGGTGGTCAGGGGGACACTGCTCAGAGAATGCTGAGGAAATGCTAGATTTTACCTGTTTCTCCAAGAAAGAGGTTCTGACGCTGTAAGAACGTGACATCCAATCCGCTGGTTCCCGTAAACATTTGTGAGCCGCCCTGGACAGGAGACTCGCTGGCTTTTACCGTAAAGGTCTGTGGCCTGCAGCCAGAGGGCTGGCGGAGCCCTAGACAAGCAAACTTTCCTGCTCCAGCCCCACCCCCGGTCCTGGGGCGTTCGGACTGCTTTTTTAAAAAACAATAGAAAAAAAAAAATCAAACCACAAAGGTGCTGGCTGAGATCCTCAGGGCCGGGGCTCCCTGTCAGCCCCTCGGACAGCGCTGGACTCCCCACGAGTCCCTAGGGGCCAGTGAGGTGGGGATCTGCCCTGCCAGTGACTGGTGGGGCGCCCTCCGCAGTGCCGCTGTTGGACACCACTGGACTGCTCTGGATCGGGGAGTGCGTGCACCTTGTGTGAGTTCTCCGTGTCGTACCTCCAGGCCTCCCCTTGGGGGCCAGGGACACCACCCCCACCAGTGGGGACAGTCTGTGAGGAGGCCAGGCTGTGGGCTGGGCTGTCGAGTCGTGGAAATGATCGCCCTGATCATGAAATGAAAGCGGTTTTGTGCACATGAATGCCGTTTCTTATTTATTGCTTTTTGTAAATTGAATAAAAATGGGCTTTTATGTAAATAGACTATGGAATCCTGTATTGTCACGGCTACTAAGAATGAATGTGTAAACTGTGTCCAGCATTGTACCCCTTAAGCTATTTTATGTATTTCAAGATCCAACTGAAACGTGGGTTTTCATACCTTATGGAAACAAAGCTGCCTATCCCCAGCTGCTGCCACCCACTCTGCTTACATATCGGCCGTGTGTCGTTCGAATTACCTTACCACAGTGTTAATTTAGATAGCTTGTTTGTACTGTGCAATTTGAACAAAGGAATGCAATGTTATTTTTTACAAAAGCAAACTTATTTTTATAACAACGATGTATTTGATGTGGACCAAATTCATATTCGTACCACCGTGTGAAACAGCCTCTGTCCTCACAGCGCAGTTACGGGGGGACCTGGACAGGGGCGCCATCTGCCCTCCTCGGAGTCGCTGCCTCCAGGCCCGGTTCCTTCTGGGTTTCTTGGGAAAGGACGCTCGAAAGCATTTTGAAACCCTTGGTTCCAAATCCATCAAACTGTACTTCACATGGAGTTGGGTGATTTGCTTTTTCTCAAGTGCAATCATTTCACACAATAAAATGTCTGCGTGGGTGGAGTATGGATGTGATGTCATCGGTACCTGGTGCTACTTTTATTTGTCTTTGTCTCCAAATCGCCCATCCCTGCATCTTGAGAGAGGGTGGTGGCCTCACAGAAAAGCTGGGCACGGTTATGGAAAAAGCCCTCTGAAACTCTACATTTTCTGAATCCACCTTTTCACATCGCCTAGTGGGTTGGCAAATCAACTGCTTGCATAAGCCATAATCTTAACCCATGAATTTAAATACTATGTTTGAAGTAGACTAACTGCATTTGATTTCGTTTGCTGATACCAAAACATGACGTCACCTGGGGGTAGATTCAACTAACACGCGATTAGAGTTGCTGCTACTTATGTCATGAAGTCTGCCCCTCTCCTCCTGTGCTTATCTTTGTAAGGAAAATAAAACCATTACGTGAACTTTGGATGCTTCAGCATCTCAGAGTTGACATGTTTCAATAAACCATAGAAAGACTTCTCGTTGCATAATTCCACCACTTAAAAATTCCCTTGTCCGTCAGAGAGTGAAGCAATTGAAATGTTCACTTCTAGGCTGAGTTACATCGAATTGGGGCATCAAGAGTTAACAGCTTCCTATACACCTGGCCCCAGGTGACTGGGACAGGCAAATGACATTCATATAGTCAAATGAGGAAGAATTGTCGAAGGCATGGAAAATACAGGACAGTGGAAATGATGTAAAGGTATGCAAGCCGTGTGCTCTCCACCCAGGGAAGGCAGGGTCATCTCCACGCCTGCAGGGATTAAAGGCGACATTCATAATGAGCCCTGGTGGTGCTGAGGGCTAAGCGTTGGGCCTGCTAACCCAAAAGTTGAGTGGTTTCGGCCCACACCCACTCTGCAGGTGAGGGAGGGGGCCATTTTTGTCCAGTGTTAAAGCCTTGGAAACCCTGTGGGACAGCTCTGCTCCACAGGCTTGATCAGAATCGGAAGGGACTCAGTGACAGTGGGTTGGGTTTTTCCCTTTGGTTTTGGATTTTCCAACTATTCTATATTACCCAAAGTATGCACTCTGTGATGGACCTTTTTATTTTTAACAGGTTTATTGACATAACTCATGTACACTTCAATCGTTCTGTCATATTCAGAGTTGTATAATCATTAACCACAATCAATTTTAGGACATCTTTTTCTTGTATTTGTTGTTAGCTCCCCATTTCCCACCAACCTCCCCGACTGTAGCCCTAGGAATCTAGTAATCCATTTGCTATGTCTAGATTTACCTATGCTGGATTTCGTAGAAAAACATACAAAATTCAAAAAACCCAACAACAATATCAGAGCAAAACAAAAAACAAGCAGAAAGTATTGAAACCTGGAACAAGCATACATAGAACCAAAGGAAGATCAAATGACAAGGTGTCATCTCAACCTCACTACAACTACGTGCAGTGATTCTCCACTAGCGGTGCACTGTCTCCTAAAGCCTTTTCCAGCCCTGGCCCATGGCTTGAGGGCATTCACTAGGCACTTAATCCCCTTGGAGCCAGCTTGTTGGTGACAGGACCTTAATCTGCAATATCGACAATTTACCGATTAAAACCCTGCAAATGAGTTTGAGGTGTTCACTGTCAAGCACAACCTTCTGCAAACCAGGTGCTTGGGATGTAAGCTCTAGTACTATTCCCTTCAGATTTGGGTTTTATTATTGACAATCCTTGGATCACCATACGTTGGTGTGCTTCTTCCATGTAGACTCAGCTCATGTCTCGATGACGGCTTGTTTGAAGACACACCTTGACCCCAGGTGCTATTCTTTCTGATCGCTGGGCGCTCTGTGCTTACCTCTCCACGCATTGCTGTTGCAGTGAACCTTCAGCCATCTCTTCATGCAGGCGATATTGGGACAGGGCCACGCCTTAGGGACTAATTGTTCTTAGAGCTGGGCTATAATTACATATGGGTGCAAATTCCATTCACGTGGCCATGGTTTTTATGTATTCCCATATTTCACTTTAGAATCAACCTTATTTTATTGGAGAACGTACATCATCTCCTCCACAGAGTCTACAGTAAACTTCTCTGTATCAAGAAAAAAAAAGATGTTCTAGCACAGCAATTCTCAACCTGTGGGTCAAACGACCCTTTCACAGGGGTCACCTGATTCCTAACAGCAAAATGACAGTTATGAAGTAGCAGTGAAATTAATTTTATGGCTGGGGGGTCACCACCACATGAACTATCTTAAAGGGCCATGGCGTTAGGAAGGTTGAGAACCACTGAACGTAAAGTGACTGTGACTTGGAAGTTGTCGATATTGCAGATTAAGGTCCTGTCACCAACAAGCTGGCTCTTTATAATGCACACCCAGTATAGCTCGGCCAATAAGGTGTGTGTTGGGGAGGGGGCTGTCACATGTTTCTTAGCGGTCCTGGCCCATGGCTCCTAAACAACACCAAGCTTCCCATCGGACACGCTCCAGTGTTCACCTTGAAGCAGGACAAAGTAGAGCAGGTGCTCCAGTTGAAGAGAGCATTCAGATGTCACACCCCCACCCTTTCTGTGGGTAGATGCCATTGAGTTGACTCCAACCACAGCAGCCCTATGCACAAAAGAACGGAATACGGCCCGGTCCAGCGCCATCTTCATACGGGTTCATGCCTGAGCCTGTTGTGGCAGAGCCACTGTGACCTGCCATCTCCTTTGTCACTGCCCTCCACGGTACCAATCACGACACGCGCTTCTCCGGACTGGTTGCTCCCAACAGCATGTCGAGAATATGCAAGACGAAGTCTCTCCATCCTTGCCTCTAAGGGGCACTCTGGCTAGGTGGCTTTGTCCTTTTAGCAGATCACAAGACCTGCAGCAGTTCTCAACCTGTGGGTCACGACCCCTTTGTGGGTCGGTCGAACGACCTTTTCACAGGGGTCGCCCAATTCATAAGTAGCAAAATTACAGTGATAAGTAGCAACAAAAATAATTTTACGTTTGGGCGTCACCATAACGAGGAACTGTGTTAAAGGGTCGCGGCATTGGGAAGGTTGAGAACCACTGACTTAAGAGTATTCTTTGCCAACATCATGGTTCAAATGCATTGGTTATTCTTTGGCCTTCCTTACTCAATGTCCAACTTTCCCAGGCATGTGATGCAATTAAAAATACCACAGCTTGGATCAGGTACACCTTAGCCCTCAAAATAACGTCCTTACTTGGAGGTACAGTAAATATGCCCAGTGCAACACGTGTGTCCCTTGATCTCTTGACTGCTGCTTCTATGAGCACTGATAGTGGATCCAAACAAGACAAAGCACCACTTGTGTCATTTTATTGAACCGTGGTGGCTTGTGTGGTGCTGTATTTCAAATGCCAGCAGGGGCAGCCAGCTGCCCACTGAAACTGGAAGCCACTGGAAACTAGGCACACTTTGTAGAAGTGTAGAATCCACTGGAAACTAGGCACACTTTGTAGAAGTGTAGAATCCACTGGAAACTAGGCACACTTTGTAGAAGTGTAGAATCCAGTGGAAACTAGGCACACTTTGTAGAAGTGTAGAAGCCACTGGAAACTAGGCACACTTTGTGGAAATGTAGAATCCAGTGGGTAATACAGCCACAGGGTTGTCATTCTGCAACATTCTAAGGAGACCCACACCCCTTAGCAGTAGCTGCACCTCATCCCTCCCTGCAGGCCCTGGCACCGCCCACCAGCCTCTGTCCCCTGAGATGTGCCGTCTGAGATCCTTCCTACAGTAAGGGCATCCTCTTGTATCCAGCTTATCCCAGCAGCTATTTCTGAAGCCGTGTCGTGGTGGTGACGTGCAGACTTGTCCATCACTTTTTATGGACATACCTCTGTGGTATCACTTTGACTGGCCTTGGCCGGTGATCCCCGGACTCTGCCTTCTGGGCCCAGGATTTCTGCCACCGCTGGGTGAACCCTGAAGGATTGATTTCCTTATTCCCCAGGAGGCGCCCTAGTGGCAGAGTAGATGACGTGAGGCTGCTAACTGCAAGGTCAGTAGTTCAAACTCACTAGCTGCTCTGTGGGAGAAGAGGAGGCTTTCTGCTTGCCTCAAGATGTAGACTCTGGAAGAGGGGCAGTTCTATTCTGACTTGGAAACAACTGTACTGGCCACAAGTTTGAGTTTGATCCCCCAGGCTGATGTTCCCGAGACACAGGGGACGGCTTGGGGGCAGGGTGGAAGGGAGTATTCTTCAGCACTGGGCTTCCCAGTCCCCAGGGATATCCTCCTCCCCCACATGTCCATTCTCCACCCTGGAAGCTCAGTGAGTTTCATGAGGTTAACTTCTCAGGCTTCTAGTGACCTCACCAGACAAGCCTCTGCCTAGTCAGCACTGGGCCCCCAGGTGGCCCGAGTCTGGTCAAAACTAGGCTCAGGTGTGATCCTCCTCTCAGCCCTGATACAAAAAGGCGGAGTTATGCCCAGGCAGGGGCTCCGCACCACGCCATTTTCGTCCCGTGACTATCTCCACTGCCCTTTCCTCATGGTTCCGCCACCTTTACCACTCCAGCGTCCCCACTCCCCTCCCTCCTGTTCCCAGTAACCACCAGCAGACTGGGATGTCCGTACAGCCTGGTTCACATCGGTGGTCTGCCCTCCCATGCTTTGAAGACGCACCACGTTGCAGCTTGTGTCGGCTCCATGTCTC